AGGATGTTGAGAGTGAACGATGTGAACAACAGCGGAAGGATGCCTGCGTTATGGAAGGTGGCGAGAGTAGTTCTCATCCCGAAGCCGAGTAGAGACCCTGCACTCACATCGTCTTTTCGACAAATCAACGCGCTTCCAGCACTTAATAAAGACTGGGAGCACACATCTAAGAACCTGATTGAGGAAAAGTTAGGGTTAGACCTCTTCCACAAAGACCAATACGGGTTTCGCAGGAAAAAGAGTACGGTGGACGCCCTGTGCCGGGTTGTGCAATTAGCGGAAAATTGTAGAAGAAACCGGATATGTGTACTGGCAGCGATGGACATCGAGAACACGTTCAGTTGGGGCAAGATCCTGATGGAGGCTGAAGCGAGAGGGATGTCCCGGAAACTATTAATTCTTCTTGACAACTACCTTGAAGACAGGAAAATAGTAATCCGGAACATTGGTGGAACGGTGAAGAGGAATGTTTTTGCGGGTGTCCCACAGGGATTCATTTTGGGACCGTTGTTGTGGGATCTGGTCTACGACGAACTTCTGAAAGAGCTCCAGAATATCCCACGTATGAGTGCGGTCGCCTTTGTCGACGACTTGGCGTTAATATTGGACGTGCTCAGTCAGGAGGAGATTGGGAATAGGTTAAGCAGAGCAATGAGTATGATTACGCAACGGTGTGCTGACAATGGGCTGACAATCGAGCACGGCAAGATAGAGGCGATTCTGCTCACTGGGAAATGCTCAGAGTTATGGAAATTGACATTGGAGGATTCCTATTGAGGACGAAGCAGAAAATAAGATACCTTGGATTGCAGTTAGATAACTGTAGAAAGTTCGGGGCTCACTTTGAAAAAGTCTGTGAAAAGGCTGATGCCTTAATGGGAGCGCTTAGATCGTTGTTACTTGTCGAGGGGCCCACTGGCTCAGTCAGAAGATTATACTACGAGGTATAGGAGTCAGTCAGGTGCTTTATGCATCCCCGGCATGGGTTAAAGCGCTGTTACGGAAGAAGAATAAGAACATCTTGAAGGGAGCACAAAGAGCCGCACTGGTTAGATCGACGTATAGAACTGTGTCCCATGCAGCGCTGTGTGTGTTGACGGGCAGTGTGCCGATCTACTATAAAGCGGAGCTCCGAGCCGAAAAGTATGAACCTAAAAGGAGTTATCATAAAAAGAAGAATACATATCATAAGAAGAAGGAGAATAGTATGAGACCCGTTCCAGAGCAGGAGATACCTCAAATTTTGTGGAGAGAATGAGGGCGGTGGAAGAACGCATTGGCGACAAGTGGAAAGAGGAATACAGTTTTTACAGAAGTGACAATTGGACGAGAAAATTAATTTCTGACGCTTGTATTTTTAAAAAGTACAAAAGATACATCGATCATTGGACCATGCAAACTTTGGCCGGGCACGGGATTTTTAATGTGTATCGAAAGACGATTAACAAGGAGAATCACTCGAGATGTTGGGATTGTGACACCGATGGTGACGATGCGGAGCATGCGTTGTTCCACTGCCCTAGGTGGATTTACGAGGCGACTGAATTTGAAAGCCACGTTGGCATACTACATACGGTGGAAAATTTGATAGAGGCAGTAACCAAAAAAGAGGACAATTAGACTAGGTTCCAAGCGTTTTCCAGGAAGATCATACAAGACAGACGAGTGCAAGAGAAGATTGTGGAGAGGAAGAAAAGACAAGCTAGTAGACTGAACTGAGAAGACCGAACTAGTGAGGGGTACAGACTAAGGCCAACGCTGTCGAAAGGCGTGAGGTGGATAGGTCGGTGATAGTGCGACTGCTGCTCGTGGAGAAAAAGCCGGACTAAAAGTGCCGGGATTTGAACTTGGTCTTGAACGTTCGTAACCAACGGCGCTAACCACAGCTCTACCGTCGTCCGGTCGAGAGTAGGGTCTTTGTGTAGCAAGCCACGGGACAGAACCCGTTGGAAAGTTTGCTGTCGAGTGCTGCTACAAACGGTTCCGGGGTTGGTTCCTGTACCATAAGAGGAGCAGATAGAGGAGGGGTTTTTAGTGGGTATGGTGACTTCCGCCGCGTGCCACATACTCAGTCACTGGGTATGGGTAATACCATTTTCCCCTTCTCGAGAAAAAATAAAAGAAAAAGGCTCGTGAACAGATAGTCGAATCAAACATAATTATCACGAGCCAGGCTCGCGAACAGAAAGTCGAATCAAACATAATTATCACGAGTCAGGCTCGCGAACAGAAAGTCGGAGGCCAAAGATAAACATCGTAATATAACGATCGTAATTGAATGTTAGTTCCTATCTGTACGCCACGAAAGTTAGTCGCGATTCTTATAATTGCCGTTACAAAGCAGTTTAGTTATTGAAATTTAATAAACCCCTACAAAATGCAAAATACGAAAGTTTTAAATGAAAGCAATGACAACGAATCCAGTGATAGTAACGTGTCTGTGCCAATCAGAAAGCGTGCAAGGCGTATGATTAGATGAGAGTAGTGAAGAGGAAGGTACGACGCGTCAATCATGGATTTGGCAGAAAGTAAAAAACACACCAATAGTTTTAGTATTTTGATGGGTCAAGTAAAAAATCAAATATCCAACTGTATTGGTTTATAACAACAGTAGTAGAAACGCCAATATAAGAAAAACAATGCCTTTCAAGAGATTTTGGCAAATTTCGAGATTTTTACGTTTTTCGTTTTTCTGATACTGAAACTGCTGATAGTAATGACCGACTTCGAAAGGTAAGACCCATCATCAACCTTTGGAATGAAAAATTTAAAGAAATTTACACGTCCAATGAATATGTCAGTATAGATCCTTGATGAAATATAAAGGGCATTTAGCGTACAAACAATTCAATCCGTCGAAAAGAGCTTGATTTGAATTAAAAATATAAAAATTGTGCGAGGCAAGTACCGGTTTCTGTCATGGATTTAAAATATATACCGGCCAGGACAAAAATGATCGAAATGATAGTGCGTCGGAGAACGTTGTGATAGAGTTATTATAAATCTATAATAAACAAGGAATATACTTTGTTCCTGGACAAGTGGTGTTCTTCGCCCAATCTTTTTTTAAAACTACACCAGAAAAAGACAAACGTCATCGGGACAGTATGTAAGAATAGAAAAATATGTCAAAAGACATTCAAAAGCGTATTTTGAAGAAAGGAGAATGTGTATGGAAGTGTTGCGATAATTTGATAGCTCTGAGATGGAAGAACAAACGCGACGCGTATATGATATCAACGAAACATGGAAGTGTAGAAATGGTTGAGCAAAGAATTACGAAAAGTAATGAAGCCTAAATGTATCCTGGAATATAACAAGGGTATGGGTGCAGTTGATCATCAAGATCAGATGTTATCCTGCTTCCCAATCATGAGAAAAGTCATCAAAGGATACCGAAAACTTTTCTTTTACATATCAGATATAACTCTGTTCAATACCTATATTATGCATAAAACAATGCACAGTCGAAAAAGGGAGATTTATGTTGATTACCGAATAAATATAGCAGAGGCAATTTTGCAAAATATCGAAATAAATATACATTAATTGAACCTCTTCGACTCTAAGCACAATATTGGGCTCATTTCCCAAAAAATATCGATCCGACGCCTCGAAAGAAGCATCCAATAAGGATGTGTAAAGTTTATTATAAACATAAAATACGAAGCGAAACGAAGTGAGAATACGCGAAATGTAAAATAGCTTTACATCTGCCAAAGTGTTTTAGGAAGTATCATACCATGGAGATTTTTTACAGTTGTAAGTATTTTCTTATTAGATATTGATTCAAGGTGAACATTTCTTATAATTTTTTGTCTATAGTATGCTATTTATTTTCAGGCGTAGTATTATTACATTCCTTAGGACAAAATCACATTTGAAGGCGCTTGAATTTCTATCGAAGTATTGTTTATTCATGAAATATAATTTTGAAACTGTCATCTATTGCAAAATATAATATATTTATAATACCTATAAAACGAAGAAAGATTAGAGTTTACTTCCACAACAGCAGTATCGCGTAAGACTGACTATACCATAGGTATTCACGTTTCGGCTCGTATTGTGACTCTTCTCGAGCATCAATCTGGTTTGTTTACCATACTTTACGCCTACCGCTTGGGCCCGAGTTTCGTCGTGCTAAATGGCACGAGAAGGGGTTAAACTTTAAATTGACCGCTAGCGCAAGGAACGTAGAAATTACAAGAATGTTTACTTAGTGCGATCGTGCGCATAAACTTATATTTATAGTATGTTCGGCTTTAGACAGCAAGGGGATAACTGTGATCCTTGAATCGGGAGGACTAAAGGAGACGCTTTGGATTTCGGATTTGTAGTCATTGAAAATGGCACGGTGGCTCGTCTCTACTTATGAGAGAGCAAGTCATTATGTTGGTCATCCAACATAATATTGAAAATTCATTGGATAACGACTATCTAAATTGAGTGTCACATCTTTCAACAGTCAACAGCGAAATTACTGCAAAACGGTTTGACATATCTTCATTTGTTTTTTATAAACTTTATCAGAAGCCTATATCCAAACAAATCATCATGGAACATGGAACATTATACAGTGCGGTAACGTGTGCAAATTGCTAAAATTTAGTATAGAAGTTTATCTATTAACGAACCAACATTATATATTGATATGACACCGTTAGACCTTTTTCATAGGAACTTTTCCAAAATAGAGTTTACGTCGAGTCCAGACACGATTGACGAGTTGAAAAGCAATATTATAGTCGCCATTGACGAAATCCAATCCTAGTTATATGAGAATTTAGTGGAAAATTGAGTCAAACGCGTCGAGCTCGTGAAAAAAAAAACTAAGAGAAATCCTAAATGATAGATATTGTGTTCCATATTATTGTAACGGAGTATCTATCTATGAATCTGATGTTAAAATAGAGAAATCAGACAAACCTCAAATAATTTGTACTTCATTTCAATTTAAAGATGTGACACTCAATTTAGATAACTCCATATTTGAGAAATATAATAGATACAAAAATTTATTGATGAATAGGTATAGTTTTTACAAAAAGTATACATATTTGAATTATTGCGATAGCATTCAATTACAGGAGAAGAATGTGCATTAGTGAAGGGAATACGTAGATACAATAATGATATATGTATTAAGCAAAGATAGTGAAATGTGCATATGTATACACATATATAATATTTGTTTTAAAAAGGTTAATTCTTTATACATTATTTAATGTTATTAATCCTTATAACAAATATTTTTTTATTATATTATCTACAAACCAGTCTTCCGTAAATTGCAAATGGTTCCCATGTACATTAAGAAAATGAATTCTCCCAGAATCGTGTAACATTTTCAAACCTAAACGATCCTGAAATGTACAAATTTATTTTCTGATTGAAATTATTCGTTGCAGTTGTATTTTTTCAAATGCAATTGTAATTTCAATTAATTTTGCCAAGTATTCGTTATAACTGAACCTATAACGTTTATTTTTAATCGTTATAACTAAACAGAGATGCTTATAACCAGACAAAAGCTAAAAAACGACGTTTGTGTTTTCAATAATCCTTTAATGATACCTATATAAAATTCTATACCTCACGATATAAATCAGATTGTTCCAATGTTTGAATTAACGATCCCTGTCCTGGTTTGTAAAATCCAAACATTTCCGTTTCTGTAGGCTTGACAATGGTATCATTAGTAAATTTAACTAGTACCATGGTACGTAATCTCTGAAGATTCTCTTTGTACGTCTGGAAAGAAATTTCAATATTATTTAAAGATAAAGTAAGAACGTAATTGACAACAATTATTAAAGGGTATTCGCACACCCTCAGTTCTACTTGACTTCTTAGCGAAGGAATTCACAACTCTAAAGAGACGATTTACTCGCACTCTCTTTTCACTCTCCTTGTCTCTTTGAGTTTTTGCCATACTTTAGTTTTCATTTTGGGAAACAAAGAATTTCGATATGCCAACTTGTAACAGAAAATTAAACTACTAAAGATAGGTCGAGTAATGCTCGTCCATATGATCATCAATGTTTAAATTTTAAATGGGCGCGTAGTGAAAAGCTAGTGTTTTTAAATTTGTCTCAATACTTTTAAATTGATCGGTATAATAAGATTCATATAATTATTTAAGTAGCTATAAAAATTTACACAATGGTATTTCCTTATAGAGAAAGTAGAAGTAACATATATTCCCCTGTGTATAGTTTTATGTAAAAATGACACTGTCCGCTTTTACTACTTTCCTCTGGAAAATAAAAATTTATAATGAAACTAAAAATAAATTAAATCAATTGGAAATTATTGACCGCCTCAGTGCTTAGATGGAAGTTCTAAAAGCGGGCAAGAGTATATTATCATCGTCTATGAAAATATGCTCATTATACTTTACAAAAGAAGATTTTATCCATGAAGTAAGTAGATAACATTTTTTAATATCTATATTACATTTACAACTGGCTCTGTTAAGCCAGATAAATAACCAGTAAAGAAGTAGAAAAATAAGTATGTAACCATAAATGAAGTTGGACATAAAATTGATGATTTTTAAAAAGATGTGTAGAAAATTTATCTAAATTTTCTCTTGTAGATAGTCGTAAGCGTCATTTAATTAAAGAAAACAGCGATTTTATCAATCTTTCAATTCAAAGTTCCACAATTAATACATTAAATATAAGGCCTATTATTTACATTAACAGCTGTTCAAGCTGTTCTTTTCGAAAGAAATACTACTGAATAGAATAGCACTCAAAGAATTGTTTCAATTAAAACAAATCCTGAAATTGTGAAACGCTACTGAATATGTGTTTGAAATGTAAATAAATCAGATGATTTAAATAAATAACAAAGAGACCGAAGGACGTATTTCAGTATTGCGCCATCTTACCACCAGAGGACTGAAATCTATGTCACGCCTTCATTAGAATAAGTTCATAAGCCTACATATTATGTATAAAAATTAAGCGCAAATCTACGGAACCCACACTCGTGTCAGTAAGAGGAAGAAGTGATACTGCGCACGCAATAATGGACGATCGCCGATTGATCATTGAATTTCGTTATCATATTGTTAGAAACATAAATGAAAACTTTTTACCGGTACACTCTTGTAAGACCGTATTTGCTACGTCTGTATAATATTAATGCAAAAATGCATAGTGAAAAAGGAAAGCTGTAACATTAAGAAAAAAGCATGATGAAGAATAATTGTACATATAACATTTTCTTCTACTGTGTTAATTCCAAACTTCCTTCATTTTTATACATATACTTTTTGACATCACAGAATTTTCTACTGTCAATAATTGATCTCTTATTACAAATAAAAGCAATAAAAAAATGTATCATATCTACCATTTATTTATTGATATACATAAATTGTTTTATATATTGATGTACATATATAGTTACTAAATTGCTATTCGTTCTTCTTATCTTTCTTTATGTAAAATAATAATTTTAATATTAAGTACGTTATGATGTATTCTAAGGATTCATGTTTTATTTTATAAAAATGATATTTACCAATCCATTTGAAATAAAGTACTTCTATTTTAATTCCATGACTATGAAACGAGTGCCTTTCATTCGAAAAATTTGGCGTAGTAGAAAAAATTGGCGTCCATGTCCGCCTTACATAGCTCCAAAAATAAAAATAAATGACCCTTTTGAAATTTTTAAAATTTTCCATACTTTCCTAAGTACAATGCAAATGCAATAACTGGAATAGAAAAAATACTTGGGTCTCAGTCAGATGGTAAGTGTTAAACATTTCTTTTTTATCTATTCCACTCAAAGTTCGAATTGCGTTTCGGTATTCTAAATTATAATTGAAGGATAAAGTTTTATAATTATCATGTAGACCGAAGAATTATGTTTTGAATTAAAATTTGAAACAGAATAAAATATTCTATTAGTAGTAACCTTTTCTTAAATTAGTAGAAAAATGAAAGAAACATTAGCGTGTACAGATACATAAAGTCGCATATGTATATGTATATAAGTACGTATAGTCAAATGCAATTTGAACTTCGAGGAAATGGATAAAAAAATGTCTAACACCTGACTTGAGATCCAAGTTTGTTTTCTATTGTAGTTATTTCACTTATATGTATTTAGAAAAAAAGCCAAAGGTTAAAATAATTACAAAAAACTGTTATTTATATCCATTTTCGGATGTGCCTATGGCGGACTTTGACGTCATTTTTCCAGCCGATATCAAATTTTCCGAGCGAATGGCACTCATTTTAGTTATTAGGAGATAGAGCAGCAGCTACTAACAACTAGAACATGCAATAGTTATCTTTTTGAAACTAATAACTCACTTAGGAAACTTTCCTTATTAGATAATTGTCATTTTTAATAGGATGAAGTGTTATGTAGACATATAGATATCTTACCTCATTAATATAACGCTCGTTATTGATGTCGGCCATAAACATACTTTTCTTTTTATATTCTTCTTCTTGGTATGGATCATGCCAATACGTTGCTTGAATAAATTTTCCTTGAACTGCTCTATAATGAAATAAAATAATTTTATAACATGAGTAACAAACTGAAATGAAAGTATTTATAAAAGAATATATACTTTATATTTTATATGTACTATGTAATAATTATACACATATAGGTAAAAGTTATTGCTATTATATAAAAGTGTAAATTAATATAAATGTTAAAAGAACAATATTACAATCCCTTTCAAAAGGTATAAGTATAATGACTACAAAAGGTATTTTATACTTTGTACACTACTTATACTTGTTATTACTAATTAATGAGGTCTGATTATATCTAATAAATTTCCTATCACTTATAATACAAAAAATTAAAACTATACAAATGAAATGTAAATCTTTATAAAAAAACGCTTTATTGGTAAAAGAGGTACGTATAAATACGGTAATTATTTAGAGAGCTAAGCTATCTTGGATTTCGATGATTTTTTGATATGTTATCAGGAACATGATTTTAAACAACTTTCATCTATAAGTGTAGTCGCCGTTCGGTCTTATTTTACGAAATATTTACGAAAATCTGTCAGTAACATTATAATGAATTCTACCTATAACTGTACGTTCGTGATAGCGTATAGGAACGTAAAAGGAATCTTTCGTCGATCACTGATGACCTGCATCGCGTTGAACGTGTCAATGACTCAATACTCATAGCAACTTTTTCAGTCTTTATACTTTCCGAAAACTTTAGTACGTTGAATGCGTAGAAATAATTACTTCTAAATATCAACTCGGGATAGCTTCATTCAACAACAAACCAAAATGACTGCAAAATGGTACGCTAAGGCCCACTATCCATGAAGCGTCGCATTGATGCTAACAGTACGTTCCCATGCTGTGATCATTATAAAGTAATGTGCAGCTCTCCATGAAACAGCAGCGAACCGTTTTTGTCATGACGATTGGAGTTAACATTGTCAATAGTTAGTACAGAAGCACAGATACGTTGCAACAATAAACGATGCACTTATGCTTCTATGAAGCGACGCTTCATGGACAGTGAACTTGACAAATGCAGAAAACAAAAATTAAATATGTAACTTCTAAAATCAACGAGTTATGCATCAAAATGCTGAAATTGTTCATTTGCAACCTAATATTTGTTATGATTGTGCACAACTTTATGTGTCACCTATTTAAATTAACATAATGTAGGTATGTAAGACATTGTAAGAAAACAAAAGTAAAAATTAAAAATCAATACTGTAAGTAGGCTCCATATTTGATTATGCGAGTTATATAGTTGCAAATCTTAGGTTTCAATGTTCCACAATTTGGCAATCCAAAAACGCCTTGATGTTGACCACCCAAGGAGATGAAATTCTTAACTGGGGGATTGGGGCATCTTTGAATTACCGCTCTCCTGTAATATATAAAGCATTAAATGATTATTCCAATATCATCTTTGTACGTAACACATCTATTATAAAATTGAATTTACTTTAGAAATACAAACATTTTTTTCAAGTTTCGTTAGCCTGTTAAAAAATTTATTGAACTTGTTTTGTTTTAAGTCATATTGTCGTTAGCCCAAATACCACTATTGGGTGATTACGATAAATACAACCTCCAAATTATTTATGTATGGTATGTATTCATATAAGAGAATTAAGACTGTAATACCGACTAGGGTTAGTGTAGGTATACATATACAAATATATACATATGTACGTATATATGTACTTATATATGTAAATCTGCTGGTGCATATATGCTCGTGTATGTACAATGTGCAGGGTATACTGAAATTAAGTGTCATGTCTGCCACAGCGTGAGTCTACGTCTTTGAACACCTCCAACATCTTAAAATTCAGCATGAAATTTTTTATTCTATCGCATAGTACTTGTAACGAAGAGCAACTTTGCAAAAAGAATTATAGGTCGCAATTCAATCGTCCCCTTGAAAAATAATGTTAATGTTCCATTGTCCCTTGCACTGACATTATTTATATTATGTTTATACTTCGCAGTCAGATAGAAAATAAACGACATAATACGTATTATATTAATGCGTCATAATTGATTTTCTCGAAAACGAAGCCTTGTATTAAAAATTGACATTCTACATTTTTGATACTTTTACACGACCACAATTATCGACCTTCGGCTTGTTGATTTTCAATACACCCTGTATATCATTTACTAGATATCTATCTGTGAAATCCAATAATAAACTCCTTTTATAGATAAATCACACCTTCCATCAAATACCTAATTTTGTTAATTTTCTCATAAGTAATACTTACAGAAATTGAGCACCTTGAGAAAATCCAATAGCGTTATAACCGTTTTTAAGACGTTCATTTTTCGACAATTGTTGACAAACTTCTTGTATTTGCTCATTAATATTTCCAAAGTAACTATGTTCGACATCCTAAAATATTATAATAAAGTGTCAATAAACATTTAGCTTGCTGCCCAACAAAACATCGGTTATTGGAACATCACTGACTAGTAGCTATTAATGAGCAAAACTGAGATACGTAAACATACAGTAACTCGCATTAATATTCAAACACTTATAGAATTTTCAAACAGTATCTAACAGATTTATCTCATCCTCTTTTAGTTAGAAAAGGTATGTACATTAAATAAATAAAATATATAAATATATAAATAAAATATATAAATATATAAATATGTTTCTATCAACTACAATAGTTGGTACACTACAAATCCTTTCAAACATGAGTTAAATGGTATCGAGGAGAGCACAATTTGATGTTACTACAACTTTTCAATCATCTAGTTTAGATTATTCAAAATTCAAAAAATATGTATCTATTTATGTACAATAAACTTAAGATATTATTATTATATAAATAATTAAGAATTACAAAAATACCTACCTCTATTTCATTATTTCCCAATCGAATAGAATACACATAAATGTTAGGTATTTTATTCTCTATCAATTTTTTTATTCCTCCCAAACTAAACGAAAAGCAGCAACTGTCTCCTGAAATTATATTATCTTTTAACCATAATATCTAGTATCTATTGTATACAAACACATGTTATTAGACTTATTACATAAAAAATTAAATATTAATGCTATCATAAAAAATGTTAATTACTGTGTGCTATCATCGTTTTGAAATAAAATAAAAGTAATATAAAAAATCAATAGTAACATTCATCTAATTTATGGTAGTTTAAGAGAAGTGATTTAGAATGTGAGACAGATAAAAAACTAGTACTTATATTTTCGAATTCTGTACGTCACGAAAACAAAACAATAATTTTTGGTTTTCTAAAATAAAATTACGTCAGTCAGTTTCCAGCAGTCAGTTGTATGTAGTCGGTCTGTCAACTTCGAAATTTTATATCTCGATAGTGAATGGTGCGAACGACACAAGTTTTTAATACATAGATAATAAGTTCTATTTTGAAAACGTCTCGAAGTCAGTTATAAAAATATGTAATAAAAGATGTAAGTTCCCGTTTAAAAAATTGGATATGATCTTCGCAGGACGTTTCAAGGTCATCGCAAAATCAAATATACAAGAATATAGTATGTCTCTCGCGATATCATACACTTTTTGTCTGAAGCATTTTTTCGTGCTATTCATATTTTTCGAGATATTTGAGTGTTCTCAGACAAATCGATCTGTACAGTAAAACTCCATTTATTCGAACTGACATGCATCACAATGCCCGATTTATCGAATACATATCTTCCTGTTATGTGAATTCAGGCCACATAACGCACTGCTTCTACGAATAATAATTTTTGCCTTATTATGGTATTTGCCTATTTACAAAATTCAGCATAGCGAAATTCAAACTTAGCTTAACAGATTTCATATATGGAAATTAACTCCGATTACACGAATAATAAACAGCGAAGCTTGGAACTAGCGGGCACGTATTATCTGGTTGATCCAGTTAGTCGACACGTCTTGCTTCTTAATTATGTCGAATAAATAGAGTTTTACTAATATAGGTACATCGTATAAAAAGGATGAAAAACATTACCCATTCCATGCCATAGAACAACTGGAGGAGAATCAATTTGCACGCCATCAAATTGATATATATACGAAAAAAAGAATAGTAATAGAATATATTTTCCCATTATTATGTAATTCCTTTTATACGAATGGATTGTATGAAACAATTATTCCTATAAAAGAAAGAAGTTATATAGTACTATAAAGAATTATCCTTGCATCGCTATTCAAATCTACTGTTACAAATTAATTTGGATCTACAAAGAAAGTACTACACAGCTCTAATTTGACATTTCGCCTTAGACCTTCTCAAATTTCTGTTTCGATGTTCAAAACTTGTTTGTTCTCAATATATTCACTATATCTCTGTTTTCATTATATCTCTTTCATCAAGAGTATTGGTAAGCGAGAACGATATAGCAAGTTTATAAATTCGGTCAGTGGTTAAAGTTTACAATTTTTGACGATCACAATAAATAATTAGAGATAAAATAAATAATTAGAGAATGAGAATTACGGTAAACTATATAGAGTTGTAGAGCTATACTATGTCAACTGACAACCTGTCCTTCCTTTGCGATACTGCAAAGAATTTTCCGAACTGATTAGCTAAGAAAGAATCGAAAAATCAAGTTTTTTAACTAATTAAACGATTGAAACTATACGTTTCGAAATTGTGTTAAAGTGAAAAGGTTAAAGCTTTTTTGTGCATTCATGCGTGCTATAGGAAGCATTTTAAAACATTAATACTATTATGAAACTATTATAAAACTATTATGATTACATTGTTGAAGTTCCAAACAAATATGAAAATATGTATAGAAATTTCAAGATATGTATAGGAGTAACTACACACAAGTATATTATATTTCGCAGAGGTCACGAAATTATTTAAACGATCGATTATCTACCATATTAATATAAGAATAAACCTCAATATTTAATAATGCCGCCTGTTATATCCCTAAAATTGCTATTTATACTATACACTAATTTTTTATTAAATATACCTGCAATAAATATTCTGTAACTTCTACTAAAGTCGTCCAAAAAGTAATATCTATTTTGAAATAACAATAATACAATTGCATTTTAAAAAGCTTTCTCTATTTATATTTTCAATACAATCGCCGCTCCTATTTTAACACTTATCGTAACATGAGATGAGCTTTATACGTATATATACGTATTGTACGAAATTATATATGACGAAGGTATACAATATACATACACACACACACACGCATACACACACGCAATATATATATATATATTGTATACCTTCGTCATATACAATTTCAATACTTCCACTGCGAATCCACAGTTCGCATAACCATCGTTGCACACCGCGCCGTTCTTTTTCAGGCTGTGTCCGTTCCCTGTTCTTGCCGTGCCTCAGATTTTAAATGTAACGTTGAATTTACACTACTTCACTTTGAAGGGACACAAGTTTATACATCATCCGCGCCGTGTCCGTTGGTCATTAATAGACACGACGTATCCCGGATGCAATTGGTAGTTTGGTAATCTTCAATATTCTTTCTGTTTGCCTAACACAGCACGGATGGCCACAGCCATCTCAACGCTATCTTTTGTAGCGAAGAACACTTGATGCGAAAACTACGTACCGCCTAATTATATACAGTATTCTTATACTGTGTCACGCTGAAGAGATTCGTAAAACTTCTGTCCGTGATCTATTAGTCGTTTGTAAAAATGAAATTCTCCTTTTTCTTTACGGTTCTTATAACGAATGTACGTTGAATCGGCCTTTTATTCTTTTGTCGCTTTACTTCTTCTTCCTCTTCTTCATCCAAAAGTTATTAGCTATTAGTAATAGCTATCATAGCTAACAATAAGTTTTCAATTGGAAAGAGATACATCTCGGATGGTCGCCGGTGTAAATATTAACGCATAAACATCCGGACACGGAACGAATACAGAACGGATACGGAACGGATACGGCTTGATCGTGTATAAATGGACTTTAAATTATCGTCTCCTGCGAAGTATTGTCCTCCCAAAAACTCTCTCAATTTTGTAGAAAAACAGTAACTGGCTCGTTTAATGCGTCCAACATTTTTAATGAAATCGCAGGCACTATGCCTTAAGTTCTCTTCACAGTAATGAGAGGTTGGAATGCTTACAATCACATCCTCTACAATCACTGTCGTGCCAATTATTCATAATCCTATCGTTGTAAACTGTTCTTTTTTTAATTTCTTTTGCACGAACGTTTTCTGCATTCAAAAAGCGTAACGGTGCGACAGTGCGGCCGCATTTCACTTTCGGTGGGATTTTCAATTCGTATCACTAGTTTTAACGTATGAAACAACGACATTAATAATTACTTAAACATAAAATTTGCTATGATTAACATACGAATAAAGCTAGTTGATCTTTTAGCATATGCCATCTTTTTATATGGCTTCTGTGTACATTACTACGTATTCTATGTGCATTTTCAAGCTAATTTTAAAGTGAATTAATATGATCATGACAGTCGTGTCACATTACGATGTTAATAAATTCTCGGAATGTTTGATATAACATACAATATTATTCTCAATATACAAACTCTTGCGAGTCAGTATATGTACACTTGTACATTAATGTACAGTGGCTCACGAAAGTATTCGAACATTCTTAGAATCTTTGAATATACAGGGTGGTTGGTAACTGGGGGTATAAGCGGAAAGGGGGGGATTCTACGCGAAAAAAGAAGTCGAAAATATGGAATAAAAATTTTTTTCTTTTTTTTTTTAAATTTTTCCATCGAGACAACGATCTACAGTGAGATCCGTTATAACGAAACGTGATAAAGTGCACGCGTACCGAGCGAAAATTCAAAGTCGATTTTCTCGAAAACAAAGCCTCAAACGAAAAATTTTTATTCTATATTTTCGGCTTGTTTTTTCGTGTAGAATCACCCCCCTTCCGCTTGTACCACCAGTTACCAACCACCCTGTATATATATTATACAAAACCACTGTGACATCGTGACTGACATTTAAAAACACTTTTGTGAAATGTTGAGTATTTGCAATCGACGCAAAACTATGGTTAGTTCTGTTGCTTTTAATTGTTTATACTGTTATAAAATGATTTAAAAATTTAAAAAAAGAATTGAATGATCTTTCTGTCAACCTAATATATATTATCAATGTTTCTTATAGCTCAGTCAAACATTTCGTCCAAAACCATAGTTTAATTTTCATGTTTTCATGTTTGAAACTTGTAAATGCAATAAATTTTTGAGCAGTTCCATCAACATCATTATAAAATTTCTTATTATGCGCATTTGCAAAAAAACTGCAGTTCTGTATCGATATAAATATCGTAAATATACATATTAATGTCTTAAAGCATCTTATAAATTCGCATAGGCTAACTAAAGATTAGTAAAAAAGATTGCTCTCTTTTACTAATTTAAAAAGTGATCATTGTAATTAGAAAGATCGATTGTCGAAAAATGATCGCGAACGATCACGTCGTCCGGGGAAAAATATAGACAAAGGCAAGAAAGCGACAAATTTATACATAGTACATTTTTGTACTCCGTCAAAATATTTATTATATGTTTATATTACAGTTTATTACGTTACTATAATTCGTATAATTCCTTAAATTAGAATTGATTACTAATATATAATATAATCTCAAGGCACAAACAAAATCCTGTTATAGGCTATAGTTAAGAAGATAAATATTCATTAATTGTAATAATGACATATGTAGCGAAATGAGATATATACGCATCGAACGCATCTTATGTATTTGTTAAGTAATTTTATACTTTGATTTGTGTATGCTATTTGATGTATGCATGTAAATGTTAAAACTCACACGTATATATATATATATAATTACAGTTGAACTCCTTATATTAAAACTATTATTATCATTTTCTAATATTTATTGTATTTGTAGGTAATGATTAGTATAAAAAAGGTATTATGACGTGATATAAAATTGTTAAGTAGTTAAAAATATAGAACAAAATGTATATTATAATTATTATACATACTTCAGATGTCACTACGCAATGAGCATTTTTAAATTAAAAATTTTAATTCTTATCTTTATAAGACAACGTTAAAAATGTGTGTCTTACATAGTTGTTTATAAAAAAATTTCTTGTGGCTTAAAGCAACATTAATACTATATAATAATAATAATGAGCTTCTTTACCATTTACCAATGATTATTTATTGGTATTTTATAGGTTATGCATGGTTATCCTAAAATTTATGACACTATGAAAATTTGGCGTAATTGAATGAAATATATGTTAAACTATAGCAACTAATTATACAATTAAACTGAATAATGGAACTTCTGCAATCAATATAAGTTATATATTCATTCATATGTATCTACTTACATACATATATCCAACAAGCCGTTTCGGTTTCATGAAATACTGAAAGTTTATTATACTTACGTTTAGATTAACTTTAACTTGATATAGTATGCAGACAATACAAAGTGTAAATACTATACATATATACATATGTATATTATTGTATATACATATCTAAATAATAATATTAAGTCCTAATTACACGATCGTTAAAAAAATAGTGAAACGATGAATAAGGCAAAAATTGAAACTAACCAATGTAAACAGGCTACTTTCACTTTAAAATAATAAAAATTAGACAATTTTACAGATATCATTCTAGTTTTCCTTTGGTCACGAACGTTTCTGATAATCATTTCAGATAAAACATTTATATTCATTACTACTGTTATTAATGTAAGAATACTACATTTACTTTCATTGCAAGATATATGTCATAAATATTAATTTAATACAATTTTTTACTATTTATATATTGGACTAATGTTGATTTAATGTAGTTTTTATCACTTACATAACATTGATACTAAAATAATTGTTTAATATAATGGGGAACATTTTAACATCTTACTTTTACTAGATATTGATATCAAATTATGATTCTATTTTGCAATTAAATGTTTTCATAATTTCAAAAAATATATTGTATGGTTTTACAGTAATAAACATAAAAAACCATTTTATACAAAATGATATATACTGTATATGTACTCTCAACTATGATTTTTAGAAATAACCTTTCTACTAAATAAATTATATTTGCTATTTATTTGCTATATTCTGATAAAGTTATTAATTGGATATATTAATAAAATTATATAGAAATACTCCCAAGATATTGAAAAGAACTTAAGAACCCTTTAAATTTTATAAAATAAGAGAATATAAGAAAAAAATATGGTTATAATTGATGATAATATATTTGTAATGTAAATTTAATTTTAGAGAATCAATAAATTTCTTTCAACAGAATGTATTTACGTATATGAAAAAATCATAAAACGTTAATCTTCAGAAATTATATGTATTAGAATATAATCAAACTTTTGTCTGAAATACATTTTTGAAAAGCAATAGAAACTTATAACATTTCATGATAATAATACATTATTTAAACTATATGAATTTATCTGCTAGACTGAAGTTATTAGCCATTATATTATTATTGAATATAACATAAATTGGTCACTTCTGTGATTTTTGTAGTTTATAATTTCAAATTCTTTTTTGATGGCTTTATATAGATAGCTAAATTTTCATCCTATTATACATATACATGTATATTTTGGCAAACTAACCTTAAAAAGAAAAACTGATGATGAATCTAAAGGTATAAAAAATTATTACATACCAATGTCTTTTTTACTTCCATTATAGGTGCAACAATCTTTAGCCTAAGTTATTAATGATGGGAAACAATGAAAGGTTGCACAGAGCTATGTAATTTGATATATTTTAAGCAGTCCCAGACTTGCATTTCTAATTTCTACATTCTGGTTGTGTCTCCCCAAAATTATGCATTCACTTTAGGTAGTGAAAAATCATATTCGTTATAATGTTTTGATTGTTCGATGGATGTAATTAATTCATCCAAACTATAAATAATTTCTTTTGTGTAAACAATTTCTAGAAACTCTTCTTTTGCAAGATGTAAACATTTCATTTAAAAATTGATGAACTGGTTAACTAATGGAAATGGAATACCATTATTGACTAATTCAATAATTTTTTTATCTAAAATCTAATGCCAATGCATAATCTTAGAAGAAAGCTTGGCTTAATTAAATGTACAAATGAGAGTTCATGGCTGCTTAAATAGTCAGAAAGAAAGAAAGAAACAAAAATATGAGATATATAATGATGGATCTGGGATATCTATTTGCAAAAATGTGCAATAGATATTATTTTTCCTGCATTGGGTTTTTTGCAACAGTTGATATGCGATCCATGGTTCCTTCTAAATTTTGTATCCTTATGATAAAATCTGATGCAATAAAAAAATTTTGACATTGAATTTCATATCTTGTACATGTGTATATCTTCACCACTTCAAGTAATAAGCAAAAACAATACACATAAAAATTGTATGATTATATCAAGATAGAAAAAATAATAAATTTTGAAAGTAAAAACGAGAGCATACTAAGATATATATATTTATCCTAAAACGTACCGTTCCCGGATATTAGATTTCATTCCATTTTATTATTTTCATTCTTATCCTTAAAGTCTTTCATGTAAGAAATCCTGAAAAATGTTTTATGTATATATAATACATATATTGAATAACACCTCTTAAATTATATATCAAGGGAGGCGGATACGAAAAGTAGAATAAACATAGGCTCTTTATATTTTATTACTAACATAATTGCACTATAACTATTTATCACAACACTATTCAAATACTTTATACGTAATTACTTAATTATTACAATAAATTTTATATATTACTTGATTTTAATTGATTATTATTCCGTTTTTCTATCAGAGATTTCTCTCTGACATTATAATCGTATTACCAACATCCAACTCCAACAACTAACGAATAAGTGTTGCCAATTTTTGCACAATTAACTAAAATACCAGATATTACCAACATTACCAATAACACCAATAATATCAGGGGATATAAGTATATGGCGTGATCGTATATATATATATACGACTATATAACCATGGAATGCCGTAGACGTGGATTAATGGAGCATACACTGTAAGCTGCACTAGGTTCTGACATAATAAATTGAATGCTTATTCAATATTGTGCAGAATATTAAAAATTATTAAAATATAAAACAGATGTATATTTACC